AGAACGCATCGAGCGCGCACAAGTACCAAAAACACAGCGTGTTCAGCATCGGTTATTACGCGAGCTGCGAGCACATTGACATCGGATACAGATCTCACAGAGGCGAGAACTGTGTGCAGTGCGTTGTAGAACTCCTTGCCGCGATCTGTTTGCAGATTCGTCGGACAACGATCGTCGGCGCGAAAGATCTTCGCGAACGCCCCAGCGACCTCTTTGCCGCTCTTGCTCTTAAGCGGCAACGCCCACGCGTACTTGGTCAACACATCGATGACTGTGAGAATGTAGTTGTGACCTCTGTTCTGACGAACGTAAGGGCGCATCTCGACCACATCGGCCTGCCACAGATCGTCGTAACAGCGCACGACCACACGTTTGCGTGGAAAGTTGCGTCGCGCGGGCGCGTGCAACTCCTCTGCGAGCTCTCTCTTCTCGACTCTCATGTTTGGTTTTGACCCGATGTTATCTGCTTGTTTTTTTTCTCGACCAATTCTTGCACAGTTTGGTAAATGGTGTGCAAATCATAACCCAGACTGTTTGTTTGCAATGAACTCAGATCATATTTTACCTTGTTCAGAGATTCCTGTAATGGTAAAATATATGTTTCCAACACTTTGTTATTCAAGCCAGCGTTTTGCGTACGAATGAATTCCTGAACATGAGTCGGAACGTCGCGCAACAACTCGTTCACATTCGTTTGCAAAGATTCAATCTGCTTTTTCAGATCTGTGTGTGTATTTTTCAGCTTATCTAATTGATCGTTTTTTTGCAGATGCTTAACGGTCTCTTCCAATGTTTGTTGTAATTGAATGAAGTCGTTTTTCAAGGTTTTGACTTGTTGCGGATCTGCACCCCGCGGCCTCTTCTCCAGTTTATTCAATCGATCGTACGCGTTTGTTCGCAGATGCTCAATGTCCTTGCTCAGTGATTTGCTCGAGTGCGCCGCTTGTACTGTATATTCCTCAAACATTTGTCGACTGATAAACTGTTTCACGTAGATGCGACCTGCAGCGTCTTACGCTCGTGTGAGAGCGACGTCTACGTAGAACTTGGTCGCGGCGTCGGAATCGTTTCGTAGTTTCTTCAAACAAGTTATCGCGCGCTCCTTCGCATCGTACTCGGCTGATAACGCGGACAAACAGAAAGCGTAATTGCGTACGTAATTGCGCAAAATAGCTAGTCGAAAGCGTTTTTTGTCATTGTAATCGTAACCGCGCCTTTGCAACGTCAAACCGAACTTGTTGACGCTCATCGCGCGCAAACGGAACTGTCGACGTTTCTCGAGCAACGGTTCAATTTATATTCACTCCCGCCTCGCGAAGCTCCTCGATGATGGACAAAAACTCGTTGTCATGCGAGTCGTTTCCCGCGCGACGAGACGCCTCCAACAATCTCAAACAATCCACGAGTTTGTTGGAATCGTCCCAGTGTACGTAATCTATTGCGTTGTTGGTCAATTTCATGGCGATCGGATGCAATCCCTCACCCGTCGTTTGGTGAACGTTGAAGAACAACGGTGCGATAATATTTTTGTACTTGTAACCTTTGCTGCTCTTTACAGGCGCTATGGGACGATGATCCCGTCTGTGAGCGTTAGTTGTCAGCAACAAATCGCGATACACGCGTTTGTCGCTCTCGGTATACGCGGTGCTGTCGGGCTGCTTCATGAATATCAATTTGTACAGACCCGGTGTGCCCGCGTATCAAACGTTGTCCACGATGATGGAGTCGTCGGAACCGACGTCGAAGCGTTTGCTGCCGAGCATCGTACCCTCCTCGCCAAAGTACACGCCGAATGTTGTGTCAATGGTCTTCGATCTGTCGGTGCT